ACACAAAGAAGTACAATTCCTGTGGACGGAAAAACATATCATGGACAATCACTCATGCACTGTGGTGACAACAAGGCATTCGGGTGGATCCTATCTCAACTCTGTGGAACTAATGAATGGTTGCCTCTCTGTGGCACACAGCAATTGCTTTATACCGTCAACACTTGGTGGACCAGTTGAAGATGAAAATGGGATAAATACCGAACAACTCAAACGTAATCTAGATTTGGCAGCAGATGTGTATATTTCCAGCGTTAATGGTGCTCCATGTTGTGGCACAACAGTTCAGTTATGTAAAGGAAACCGACGTGATTGCGCGCAGAAATTATTGGGAAGAAGGCAAAAACTTTTGACATTCTTGCACGGAAAGGTGATCGAAAAACAAAAGCTTTTGAAAGATGAGCCTGATATATTCCACTATTTTAGAAAGGTTTGGGATGTTTGCAATAATCACATGGTACAATCAATCCCAAAGCAATATGCATTTATGTTATTGCCTTGTTTTAAAGATGGGTGCATCCATCCGCTGTGCAAAACAGGAAAACCAGCCATTGAACCACATTGCACGTGGTTTCCAAATGGCCCCCCTCTATCGTATTTTCCACTACCCATTCCTGATGTCGATCGACCTTGGGGTGGCGATTGTACCAGCTGTTCGGGTTTTTGTGCAGGACATTATAAGAAACCAGAAGATGCGTGGAAGAGTTATCAGGAGAAAAGCAAGACAATCTGCCAAATTAAGCCTCCATTAGTGACGTTACTAGAACGTTTTGACGAGAGTGTGAAGAAAGGGTTTGATTTGCTCGGAGATGAAAATAGGATCAACGAACTTGCAAAACAGATGTTGTTGACTCCAAATGAGGTGAAAATGTGGCTAAAACATCTAAAAGCAATTAAATTAAGGAGGAAAGAGGGAGCGAAAAAAGCGGCTGCGACGAGAGCTGCTAAAAAAGGTATAAACTTTTTTTTCTAATTTGTATTGTTTACACAATCAACTAATATTAGGTATTATTTATCTTATAGCCTTACATGCAAAAAATAACTCGGCAACACCTGCAAATGACAGAGAATCTTCGGCAGCAAATTGTCCATGCGGTCTGCCTGACAATGAAGACAATATGATTGCTTGTGAAAATCCAAAGTGTGATGTTGAGTGGTATCACATTTCTTGTGTTGGGCTCGATGAACTGGGGAATACAGATTTAGAGAATTTGGAGTGGTATTGTCCAGCATGTGATCATGAAGGTATGTCTGAGTCATGTAATGATTCTACCGTAGTACCTTTATTTAGGGCATCATATACCTTGCGTTGTTATTGTAGCTTTTTTATTTGGTATACTGTACAGTACTAGTCTTTGAAACAATTTCATATTTACAGTAAATATGTATATAATTAGCTCTCTCTATGTATGTAATTAGATCTCTGCATTTCAATGCTAACAGATAACGAATCCTCAAACGACTCAGACAAGGAAGACAGCTGTCACTGCGGGAGACCAAACAGTGTGGAGGAAATGATTGGGTGCGATGGTGATGATTGTGAGATAAAATGGTACCATTTCAGTTGTGCTGGATTAACTGCAGAAACAGTTCCAGATGGACAATGGTTGTGTCCAATGTGTTCAAACATGCTAACCAGCTAACATTGTTAATATTGAATTTTTATAATTAACTAATTTGGTAATTTGTATGCCTAGTATATGGCATGGATATTTATATAAATGGGTAAGAAACTAATGTCACGTGTGATATTTTCAGGGTAGTGGTTGGTTTAGGTGGCATTACTGACGTATTAAAACAACCTTGTTGAAACCTTGTTGACAATCATGCCGTCACAAAATATCTAAGAATCTCACGTTTTTACACCAATACAGTTAAAATTGATAGTCAAACAACCTATGAACATTTACAATACAATATCTGGATATTATTACTCTTTTTGGACGCCATTTTCTTCACAAAAAGATGTAAAAAATTCAAAACAATGTATACACTTCGATTCTCAATACAGCTACTTAAACTCGAAAAAATGGAAGATCGGCAAAAACTTCAGAATCTAAACCTGAACAAAAACCAAAGACTTGTGACGTCACGAGACGCAACCTAGGTTCAAACTGCTGACGTCATCAGTTTCCTATCCATTTTTTATGGTTTTATGTATTTCGAGTTAAAAGACTTTTCAATCCAATTTTGGAATTTATGTTGTTAATGTTATTAAAAAGGCGAATGATTGTCTAATTATTTCCCCAATGGGGTGGGAGAATAGTCAACTCACTCGTCCATATAGGGTGGGGGTATTTTAAGTTATGGTAGCATCAAAAATCTATGTCCCCTCCATATCCCGAGGTTGGGGGGGGTGGGGGTTACAATTGACAAGTGCATTACAACCGTAGACGGCAATACATGTTTTGCAGTGCACCTTACGTTTTACATGAACAATCTAGATATTTTCGTTATTCAAGCCATACTCAGAGCTGACTATATATAATATTTGCAATTTCGGTAATATATATATTCCCACACGTGAATTTAGGGTATTTTACATAACAATGAAAATATTGATAATATTGGGAACTAACACTACAGTACATGCATATATTTACCTATATAAAATGAGAACCAAGTAAAACTACATGTAAAAATACATCACAACATATAACCAGATTATAGTTATTTTACACTTATCTCTTGTCTGGGAAAATCCCATACTGACCTTGAATGTCAATTTACTAATTTGCGCAATGTCTAACTTGCGCGACACTACACATTACAGAAGAGGCAAATCTTGTTTGTGAGATAACAGCTATTTCACTAGTATAGCAATGTCGTTTGAAAGCCTGCTTAGTTTTAAAAACAATTAATAGTTGCGAAATCTGAAGCTAGAATTATCCACTGCAACATTGTTGCAGTTCCGCCAGTTAAGTTTTGTATTAATAATAATAACAACACTTTAAAACACTAAATACTCAGTAGAATCTTTTATTTCAATGCAAATTATTTCTATATTTCTGCAACAGAGCATGCACATACATAAATGTATATGCTATACATATATACATACATTTGGAGTATATGATATATGTAATTGGAACAGCAGAACTACCATAACCGGAGTCAATGTCTAAGCGCATTTTACAACGCAAATATACGCTTACTGTCGAAACTCACAATTACAGACCATTTGTAGTAAGTAGCTACACATGATTGAACTATGAATATACGTTGCAACGTATCTGTATTTTTTTTGGAAACATTTTCTTCCAAATCTCAACGTTGTTACAGTGTAACTTATACTGTGGGATTTGCGTTTACCCTGCCATCTACGTCACGAAATGTATTCATGCATAAATTAGCATAAGCGGAATTTTCCCAAGATGGCGGACGACACGTTAAAATTTGTTAAACATTTTCGCAAATTATCTGAACAACTAAATGCAATGGACAAACAAAAATATGAAATTAAGTATTCCATTAGTAAGCTTAATAAATACAGACAATAAAACATTTTGTTGCCATTGTCCTTTAAGTCAGAGTTATAGTCTGCACGATAGCCTAGTTAATTATTAATTGGTCATTGAAAACTTGCTACATGGCTGTATATCCTTTTTTGCAGGAAATCAAAAATAATCTGCAATACTGTAAGCCATGTGAGCAGCCGAAGCAGGTTTTGGGATGGCATAGCTCTCGAGCTGCGATGGGAGACCGTGCCACCGGGGGGAACATTTTGAGCAATTGGCCACTTTCTCTACAGTAGGCGCAGTGCCACGTTGTAGGATGCCGCACCAGTCCTCAATGACGCAACTGAGTAGAAAAGTACTCATTTGTCAGGAATTAATACAACATTTTAGTTTAGCACCGTTTTTTTGGAAGAGATTGAGTTTGAACACTACTCCACTTCCAGCAACCCCATCCCGTCTACCCTGGTAAAATTTTTTATTTTGTCTGTATGAAATAACATTTCCCACACTCAGACAGCAGTTTTGAGCAAAATCACAACCGTTTTAACACAGGTTTTTAACGGCGTGTTGAAGAATATACAACGATCAAGCACTTTCTTCTTTTTACAGTTCATTATACCCATTTCAGACCTGCCAACCCTTGAGTAGCAGAAATAGTGAGTTGCTATCTAAAAAGTCGTGAGATTGACTGAAAAATCGTGACACTTAAAAATTTTCAGGTTTGCTCATTAATATGACCAGGGTTAACTTTAACAACACCAGAAAATACTCAATAGATATTCAATCTTAGGATAGTATATATGCATGCATTTATATCTCATTTGTGTCGGTGTTCTTTGATCGTCCGAGGTCTATAACTACTGTAGCTAATATACCTTGAATAAATAATTACATCATTCAAACTTTTCGACAAAACGCGAGAATTTTTCATAAAAAATTTTTGAAAATGACAAAATATGTTAGAAAACCTCCACAAATGAGATATAAGTTAGTTATAAACCTCGAAAGTCGGTTTATAACTGATATATTGCCCTCGGATGTTATACGTGTCCTCGGGGGCAATATTATAAGTTAGAGTTATAAACCTCCTTCTCGGTTTATAACTCTAACTTATATTTTGTTAATTACTATAATGCAAGGCTTATTAAAAATAGGCTGTTTTTTCTTTATGGCTTCAGTAGCTTCCAGTGTCAAGTCTCACGAAATAATAGCATATTTCTTTTTTCCACGGGTGTTTAGAATCACTTGTGGTTTTAGCAGAAATTTTGCCGAAAGTCGTGAGATTTGGGGACTTAATCGTGAGAAAGCATAAAAAATTGTGAGTCTCACGATAATAAATCGTGAGACTTGGCAGGTCTGCCATTTGCCAATTTTCCTCAAAGTTATTATTGCAAAAGATATAATTACAGAGAAAGATTGAGTTTCAAAAGTCAATTGAAGATTGAGTTCTTACTATCGTACACCGGCAGTATAGAAAAGTGCTTGACGTATGAACTCTGGTTGTGCAATTGCTCTTTTTTCAGTGATGCGTGCATGATCTGATAATGTACGGTATATACTACAATTCTTTAGTTTCTACTAAATAATTTCAATTACAGCTAGTAGACATGAGTTTTCAGAAAATTATCTGCCAACTATCAGGAAATATGACATGATCACATTAAACAAAATTATCGTGGGAAATAGCTGGCAATGCACTTCCC